ATCAAGTTTTGTTCGACTTGCTTGGTACTAGTCTTCCTTGATTCAAAGTCATGTTTACATCTGCAGTTGCCAAACTTATGAAGGTGGAATAGCTGGTGAACCAGGTTCTGAGGCTCATGGAGGGTAAAGCTACATTCTCCTGTTATATTAGTTATGTCAATGTCGGTCATATACTAAGTAGATACTCTAGTGCTAAGGTGTGTAAGATCCACTTATGAACATGAAAGATGGATGGCTCCTAACCCAGAGGACTTGGAGATAACACATCCTCATTCTTTTTGAGAAAATTGGAATATGACATGTTGGATGCACTAGATTATTGTGACATGGATAAGTTCAACTATGTATGTTTCCGTGGAAAGTCATGAATGTTTCACTTATGTAGATTAATGGTTAGGTATTGAAGTATGAAATTCTTGTATAATGATTTATAATTGTTTGTCAACTATATTGACATAATTGTCTTAGAAAACTACTTGGTGTCGTGTTTGATGTTTAAATAACTTTTCTTTTCTTCATCCGCTGTACGTAGATTTTATACTAGATCACCAGTATTTTAGGTGCTCACATACTTGATGCAGCCATCCAGGACCTGATTCCCTTTCTTGGGTTGCATTTTAGGTACACATTCTGTGGTTTAGCAGCGATGATTCTGATCAATGAGGTCCATCGGTTGGATTTGCCTTGCTTGATTGTAAGATTCTTTTTGTTTGAATTTTGCCTCTGAACTTGACTTTTTTCTGTAGGTTTCAGTCTAAAGTCTGGACTATTATCAACATAGATATTCAGTATTTTGTGTTTTACCATGGTGTAGTTTACCATTTTCATGGTGTCTTGAATGTAGGCTCAGGTTGATTAGTTGTGGAACATGCATCTCCTTAACAATATGGAGCTCAATTTTATATGCCTCTTTTCGGGAGTATTTTTGCTAGATTTGTTGCAAATTAATTAATTCTTTTATTACGTGATGGCATTTACAACTGTGCCAGGACTGGGTTGTCTTCAGACAAGGTGTTGAAGGTGGATTTCAAGGGAGAACAAATAAACTGGTTGATGGCTGCTATTCCTTTTGGCAGGTAATTGCCTGCTTGATTTTCTCATTTGAAATTTTTATTTCAACTTATTAAAGTGTTTAATACATTACATTGCAGGGAGGAGTTGCTGTCATTGTACAAAAGTTGCATTCAGTTATCTGTGAACAGTTGGGTTTGTCAAACGTTTTAGACTCTGAGTGCGACTCGGAAAGTTATCATGATTATGAAACATCAGATATATCTGATGTAGAAGAATGCACTGTGGAAACTTCTTGCCCTCTTGGTGGAACTTGCCATCATAGAAAAGAAGGTACACCATATTTTCATAATGCTACTGTCTTCCATGTAAACAGGTTTGGTTAGTTTATCTTTACTTTTTGCACCTTGCAACCTTTCTTTCATGAACGCTGCCCCAACAAAATGAATTGGGACACTGCTCAGCTTCTTTTGATGGAGCTATACATTTACTACTTGCATCTTTGTGTTTGCTTTGCTGCTGGCAAGATAATTTTTCTTATCCAGATAGTTTTGCAGACATTGGTGTTGATTTCATCAGCAGCAAGAGGGCAATTGCACCTATTTTCAGTAGCATGCATTTGCAGCAATACCTTCTTTTGTGTTCACAGGTACCAAATCCAAGTTTTAACCAGTCACGGTGTTATTTGCTAATAATGTACAAATTGTCCTCTTGTGAAGGCATATTCTTGCCTGTTTCCTAGCCAATTTTGTTTAAATGCAGTTCCTGTCCTCACATTACGTGGTTGATGCAGGAAGGGGCTGGTTTCAGAGATAAACCTGGGAAGCCTAGGGATCAGTATCATACATGTTACTGTCTAAGTGGATTATCCGTTTGTCAATATTGCTCATCTGCAGATGCTAGTTCTCCACCACTGGCTAGAGATATACTGGGTCCTTACCCTAATTTGTTGGAACAACTTCACCCCTTATATAACCTTGTCTTAGACCGTTACTATGAAGCACATGAATTTTTTTCAAAATTTTAGGCAACTTATCCAATGCTTGATGAGAAAACATGGGCTGTAGCATTTGATGGTGTTCATATAGGCTCTCTCCCGCGTAGCAGTTAGTGTAAAAACATAATAGTTGTTGGGGCTGATGTTACGCGAGACTTCCTACCACCTCTCAATTTCTTCTGTTATTCAAACTACCTCTCTGGTGTCGGGTAGGTTTGGGTCCAAAATTGACCGTTGAAACTTTGTAAATTTAGGCAATTTTGTCGGTGTCCGGTCAGGACGATTTAGTAGCTAAGGATATCACTTAGTTTGTGTAATCTTCTTTATATAAAGTGGGTGATTTCATACTTGATATTTGGAATGTGATGCCATTAGTTACTGAACTAGCTTAAAGAGCTGTACTTGTTTCGACCATATTGGTGCCATTTGGTATTCGTGGTTTCTTAACTTACAACTGGCCTGTTGCATTACATGCCAACTCCTGTATCACCCCGTCCACAGGCAGAGGTACATTTTGCGCCTGGTACTCAAAAGAAAATGTATATTTTAGTTATGGGTTCTTGAAAGGCTTCACTTGTGCCTCCACTGATTTGTGAGAAGTAGATGCAGTACCGAGTAAATATGCATTAGTGGCTGTGCTGTGTGAATGTTATTAGTGTGTAAGATGTGTCTAGAAAAGAAGGAAAAATTTACTTTTGGCCCCAGTGAGAAATAATTCTGGCTCTGGTGCTGATCCATCCCAAACATTAATGATAATAAGAGTAAAGAAATAGTGCAGGCTTGGATTATTTTTCTTTTGTTTTATTTGTTTATTGTTTACATATTCCTCTCCTGTGAGAATCATGGGAATAAATACGTGCTTGAACTCGTGTTTAAAGTTGAATTTTCTTTTCCTTCAAAGTTAAAAAGAGAGGTGCAAATATGTTCTTTGCTGGGGTTCGATAATTTTTTTGCCCCATGTTCTTGAAAGCAATCCCAGGAATCAAGTATAAGATGGATGATGGAAGCGGTTTGCCTTTTTAGTACTAATTAAGCCAAGTAATAAATTGAAAGACTTATTTGGACTGAGGGATTCGATAAAGGATATAAAATTCTCTCAGATTCCTCTGAGTTATTTGGATTATTAGGGAGTTATTTTAATTTATAATGATTGGTGATTTACAAACTCCAAATAAATGCCTTCTATGTCATTCATGCAACGTAAGAGGATTTGAGAAGATTTCAGATTCCTCCTTAAAACTTTCTCAATGTAAGCCTATAATCTAAAAACAGCCAAAAGTAGATCATTGAACTAATTGCAGCCAGAGTATCAATTTTCTGGGCAGTTTTGCAATTATAGCTACTTCACGGTATGTTGGTAGCAGGTAACGGCAAAGAAACTCATTTAATTAAATTTATCCATATTCGCCTCTGAATAAATGGGTATGAGTATTTTAAATTTTTATATATGGGTATAAATGAGTTACTTAATAATACCTATTTATATCTTAAATTTTTGCATATGGGTATAAAATGGATTACTCAATAATATTCACCAATTAAACCCAATTAACCTATTTAGAATTGTCTTCTCCCCAAACCTCCTTTCTTTCCCAACCCATTTTTGTTTTTAAAAATTTTCATTTTATCATGATGTTAACTACTTTTATTTCATTATTATTATTATTTGTTAATTTATCTTATTATTTTATTTTCTCTTGGTTTGTTAACCTGCTTATTTTTCAGCATTATCAATTTATGACAAGTTTTAACCTCTTTTCCTACCTTTTCAAAATGAAATTTTAAATTTACACACGAAAAAAATGTTAGAGGTTCAAAATTTTGGATTAAGTTTTTATGTTAACTTTTATAGTACTTAATTCAAATTTTTATATTCTCATTGTTCAATTATTAAATAATATGTAATTTTGCGGCATAGAATACGGATGTAAAAAAAATTAGAAATTAGGCTTATTGAGTATTATAAGTAAATATTTAAAATTAACGATGGGTGCAAAGGGTGGTATAAATTGATAATTTAGTTTGTAAAAATAAATTTAAATGAGTTTATAAAAAGTTAAAATAAATGGGTTATAAATGGATAATTGGATTACCCAATTCATTTTTTAACTTCCATCTAATCAAATGGATATAAATTGGTTAATTCAGTTATACCCATTACTCATTTTAATCAATCAAAACCCTTTCAAATAACCCATTTTAACACCTCCAGTAGTAGGCACGTAAAAAAGGTTCCTGAACACTCATGTGAAGAGTAATAACAATGAAAAATTATATATGGTCCTTTAAGGAACTGTTTCCTCATAGTTATCTATATTATATTTTAAAAGGTAAATCTCATATGCATTATCAATTTATGTAAAAATGCGCGAGCAATACACATAATTTGATTTCAAATTTTTCAAGTTTTTTGTAAAGCAAAACAGTAGAATCCCGCAAAAAACTGAAGTCTTGACCCATTTAGCTGTCCGGTCCAATTTTACATCTTCGTTTGGAGGCGAGGTAGAAGCGTCTTTTACTGTAGTTTTTTCCTTTAGGTTCCAGAGACTCTTTCTCCTAAGTTAATACTTTTTTTTTTCCGTCGAAATAATAGACCTACGATTATTCTATACTACGTGGAAAAAGAATCTGAAGAGGTCAAGAAGAAACAGAAGGGAACTGAACCACCTACCGAACTAGATGAGTACACCCGTCTGAAAGCTACTTAAAATGATAAATAGAAGGGGATTGAATTACCTACCGACCGACCCAGACGAATGCACTCGCCTGAAAATCACTTGAATTGGCTTGCCGCATTTTGTGGCAAACGGATGCCCTGATCTCTCACCCCTTAGCTCAGCGAAGAGCTCAGTGGTTTCTTCTAAGTAACGCTTGAAGCATCGAATCCGGTGGTTCTCTATTCCAAATTAAATACTACTATATATAACAATTTGTGTAGAGCAGTCGGTCCAGTCATAGACTCTCACACACACACGCTCGCACAGTCAGACACCCGTGGGGATCGAAATCTTTAATTACAAATTTAAATTAGGTAAATACAGGGGGCGGTCGGAGCCTGACGTATCAGGTATTTGCAATTGGTCTTCAAGAGCATGAGTGCCAAAACCGTCGTTGTCCTCGGCCTTGGGAGGGCTTCCGGGTGGGGTCAGGAGGGCGGTGTTGCGTGTTTTTTCCATTATTCAAAGGTCTCACTCTTCACTCTTCATTCCTTACCGCCTTCGAATTAATCATCTAGCATTCCAATTCCGCGCTACCAAAAGCTAATAATTCCAGATTCACTCCAAATCCTGAACTCACTCGAACACTAGTAGTAGAACAAAACTATGGACAACTCAAGAAAGTCGAACATCAGCTCCGACAAAGAAGATTTACATGTGGTGGATTCCTCCAATCGTGATAGCGAAGAGTTTAAGCCACCCTCGCTGCCGACAAGGTCTCCGGATTACTCACCCGAGGGATCATCAATTTCCTCGGATCACACATCTCTTACTCATGGGTCATCCCCAATTCCAACCCCGAGAGAGGAGCAAACCTCCCCGCCGCACAGCGCACCTGGAAAATTGCCTCCTAAGCCTCGGCTGCCGGCGCCGGCTATCAATCGCTACGTCGTAGGCGAGCCCTTCTCAGTGTCCAAGATGGCAGATTCAGGTGGGCAAGGAGGAAGGGTGGAGGACGGTCATGAGCAGGTTAAAGCAAGTAGCGGACGCAGGTTTCGACCGTCTCTTTGGATTCCGAGGAGGGCAAAGACAGAGCAATTGATGAAGAAGGCTGCTTTGGGGTTTAGGGCTTTTGGGTTTTTGTTCTCATTGGTTTCCTTTTCCGTCATGGCTGCTGATAGGCATCGAGGTTGGGCACTTGATTCATTCGATCGTTACAAGGAATTCAGGTCTCTCAACTGGAATGAGTAGTACTATCTCTTTTGTTTAATTATATCATTACTTACTAGTTAATATAGCTCTTATGGTCTAGTATCGTATGTGACTCTGTTAGTCTGCTGAAACTTTGCACCATAAAGTAGTAAGAAGCATTGAAAAATTTTTGCAACCAATATATGTCAGGTACTGTATGACAGTGAATGTGATCGCATTTCTGTACTCCGGAGCACAGGCCGTGGATCTGGGCTACCAGTTATGCGCTTCCAAGTCAAGGCTTCTGCACCGTTTTCGACACCCTATTGATTTTGCTCTTGACCAGGCAAGTCCATATCATTTTCATTATTCCCGATGGCTGTTCATTTAGTTATTGAACTTTCTCTTGTTTCTTTCTTACTACTTCCAAGAATTCGTCGTTAATGTTTTCGTTGCATGCTTTATAGGAGTGTTTTTTTTTTTTTGAGTATCTAGGGAGTCTGATTACTTGTTTTACCAGGCACTGGTTATTTTGCCAAGGTAAATTGGGGGCATTTGAAGGAATGTTAATCAGGGACCACACGGTAGTGGTGATGGTGTTCTCTTCATTTAATGTCCAAATTATGGTAATGGTAATCGATTGAGTAGAAGAAAAGGGGACACCTTGGATTGGGTCATTCGTGTGGTTTTGAGGTGGGTGGAAGAAATAATTGTTGCCGTGTTGCAACGTTCAAGGGTCTTTCGTAGGCCTTAGTCCGACCTTAAATGGAGTTGTAGTACTAGTAACCTTGTATTTTTCCTATCGCTTTTATGTGGGTCATAATACACTTGGCTGATATTCCCCCACAGCATTAACAGTGGCTGGAATTGGAAGTTGCTACTTTTTGCCGAGGGTCCATGCTTCTAGTTCTAAAACTATCGCTTTTGCTGGTAGATTCTCTGCTTCGTGAAATTATCTAACACGGGATACTGCATTTTTAAATTCTAAAATGATGGAAACTAGTGACAGGACTAGTTTTATAAGCTTTCAAAAGAGAGAGATCAGCAATAAGCAGAAGGCAAAAGAAGAAGGAAGAACCTGATCTTTTTCTTGCAATGTTTCAAGGGTCCAATGATGCTTTAGTATTTGCACCTTTTCCATGTTTCCGTTGCATGATATAAGTAACCTACTTGCTTTCTGCACTTCCTCATCATGGTGCTCTAATAATATTCTCTTGGTTGTCAACACCGTTTGATTTAGGCTGGTTTAGAATGGCGGACTTTAAACAATTAAAACTTGGGGCAAATTTTCACCTGCATCGGGCAGATTGTTTCTAGGATCTTGTATACAGGAGGACAAAAGAGGCTGCTCTGTAAAGAGTACTTATACAAACTTTTCAAGTTTTATTTATTCAGCCTTCTGTTATTTACCAGACTCCAAGACAATTACATCAGTCTGATCTGCAGGACCTGCCTTCAATTCGGAAGCTTCTAATCAAAGCTTAATCTAGATAGAATAATGATATGTTTTACTAGGCGTTTCTTTCTTTTCCATTTTGTTGGATTAAATGAAACAAGCTGATCTTCCATCTTATTATGGGCCAAAACTTAGTGGCAATAGAAATGGTTTGAAATTTTCAGATGATATCGTATCTTCTAATATCAGCATCATCTTCTGCTGCTACTCGAGTTGAGGACTGGGAATCAAATTGGGGCAAGGACAAATTCCCAGATATGGCGAGCACGGCTGTGTCAATGTCCTTCCTTGCATTTGCGGCCCTAGCTTCCACTGCTCTCATATCTGGCTATGGCCTTTGCACGTCCAGACAGATGTAGTATTTAGTTTGTCTGGATATATGTGATTTCTGAATTGTGTATATCTAGGTGGATTTTTCTTCCTTACAAATGGTTTTTTTTTTTTTTTTTAATAACGAATAGGACAACTTTAACACAACTGATAATACAGTGCTTTTTCGAAGATGTATGCCAAATTTTTTTTTTTTTTTTTTTTGGCTATTGCTGCCTTGTGAAATATATTTGCAAACATATTTTTGTGTTGATAAATGCAGTTATATTAGTTGTTGAAGAAATGTTGTCGACAGTTAATGTTGCTGGTTCAGAAGGAACCAGCCGTGTTGAAATTGCAGTTTGTAACTCAGCTACTTGAGTTGCGGGCTGAGCGTCGGACACTTGCACCGACTCACAGTCACAGGAGAGGGTTGTGGATGTGGAGCAAGCAATGTCGACCGAGTTTGCCTTCCGTTTCCAATTTCTCAGTCCTCGATCCTTCTTCCTCCTTGAACCCGCCACCTCACCGGCAAAACACTACTCCCAATTTCCCTGAAGTTAAAAAAATCAACGATGAAGATCCCCTTCTTGCAAAAATCAAGCCTTCATCTCTCCGAATCATCAATAAACGGCACAGACTCTGTCATCTCAAAATTACTCTCTTATGCCTCAGCCTTTCTTCCCTTCTTCCTTCACAAAAGACAGCCCTCTAAGGTAAAGAATTAAAAAATTTAATGTACGAAATAAAAATTGAATTGTGTGGTACGAAATACTAAGAGAGATTAAACGAAATAAAACTATGTCGTAACAAAGTGTTTGCATTGCCACAAAAAAAAAAAAACCCGCATTGCATCAAGTAAATGAATGCTTTCGCAATTGTGAAAGAGCATTAAAGCGTAATTATAAATTGCAAATGGCCACACATTCTAGGAGTATGTGTTAAGTAAATAATCATTCACTAGAGCATATTGATAGAGAAGTTGGGCTTCCATTTTAAGGCAAATATGGGGGACGTGTGATCTAAATTTTGTCACATTTTTAATTCTCGAGTTAGTGTGGCAAAAAATTTGAGCCACACGATGATGATCTATAAGATCACGTCTACCCAATTAATTGTTTGTCCATCTCAAAAAATCTCATATGGATGATTGGAAAACTGTGAATTGTCAATATATGTTGGATATTCTCTATTTGACAAATGAGCTTAAGCCCTCAGGCGAGTGGGTACTGGGAGAAACTATAAACAAGACAACAAGCAAATTCGAGGCCCAATCCTGAGGTTTGAGCCCCCAATCCCAATAGGCGGGGGATTGGGTGGTGAAACGCAAGCGGAAAAAACAAGCACCCAATTCTGATGCCACATAAAAGAAGTTGAATTTCTATTTCAAAATCAATCGGCAGTAGACGGGGATGCTCAAAAACAAACAAGTTGTTACTTCTTGCCCACTTGTTAATTGTTCTTTTACAGCCAATTGAACGGAGTCATATTAATTCGTTGTTGTTCTGTTACTTCTTGCACGATTGTTCTTTCACAGCCACAAGCCAGGCATTAATTCATTTTACTCTCAATTTCTTGTCCCGCCACCGTTTGATGCTCATTCCCCATTTCCACTCAAGATTGATCCGGGGCGTGGCGCTGGGGAAATTGCACAAAAAGCAATGATAAGGTGAAAAAAAATTGATATGCGAGATCTGAATCTCTTTCCCACTAAGTTTCTGCGGCGCGTAATCAATGCCTTGGGGATGATTAAACGAAGGAAGCAGATGAGGGAGGTGAAAGGCACGGGCTAAGAGATTCGTGTCACCATTATTTTATCTTTGCGATAACTTCCCCACTTCAGCCTCTTATCTCTGTAAGGTAGGTATCTGCTACCTCCGTTCCTGTCCGCCCCCCAGATCGAAACTCTCTCTCAGTTGATTCTGTTCACGTACCTTTTCGCCTAGCCAATGCCAGTTGATTATCGTTACTCTCAAGTGATTCTTCCCTTTTATATTTATTTTTGTAATGACAAAATTAGTTAAGCCAAAATGCTCTTCACCATAGCCGGGAAATGTTAAATTTTGAAGCAAGATTTTGCTTTTACAATTTTTGCAGCAAGGAAGATGCTAGTCGTCTTGATTGCAGGGAGGAGGGATATTTTCTTCTTCCATTCAGGGGTAGGGGTACTTCAACAATTTTTTAGATCAATCATGGGAAGCTGATGGGAAAATGTATAGTAGAACCGACTAGAACAGGTGACTGTGTGATTTTGTGAATTTACATTACATTACATTACATTAGTGTCTGTCATCAAACCATTACTACTCTCTGCATTACCATCATTTAGATAAACTTGCAGTCCAATCAAACTAAAAAAGATTCTGGCACTGATTTGATAAGGGTACGGGTACTCGATCCACTGATTATTAAATTATTAATGAGTCTCTCTCGAACGAATCTCTGTCTCGATATATTATTATTGTTATTATATGGGCAAAAACTTGCACGGACACGTTCGTCCTAGAGCAAATTGCGCGAAATATCACTGCTTTATTGCGAGGTGCCGATTTTGTTCACTAAACTTAATCATTAACAAAAAAATGTCATTGCATTAGTAAATCTATATTATTTTAATCACTTCATCTCTGTTTATGATGTTAGAAGAGACGGAAAATAACTTTTTGAGGGACAATTTTATCTACACAACTTTCGTGGAAAAAATTTCATCTAATAAATGAAGGGACAATAGTGGAGTTTTGAATGTTGGTAAAATTTTTGACAAAATAAACAATGGATGAGAAAAGTTGCAGTATAAATCTAGCAAAATCAAAGTAATCAATGAAAAGAATCAAAAAATCGACCAAAGATGAAGATTAGCAATAGCCATCAATTTGCCGCCTTTCAAACTTGTGTCCTTGCTAGGCCCTCAAATCCACATTGATGCATTAACAATTGTCTAGGTTTTAACAAAAAGAACAATGACTATTTTTTTCCTATTCTTTCTTCCAAGTTTCTCATTCAGATATTTTACTTGAACCTACATTTTCTCAACTTTGTTTTGCAACTTGAGAATTTGCTGCCGCAAAGTTTCATTCTCAGTTTCCAACCTATTTACTCTCCTTGAAAGACCAGGTATGACTTGTTTGGAACGCTCACACATTTCATCATCATACCAATTCCAATAACCACAACCATCAACCTATAAAAAAATTATCCAAATTCTTTTTAGCCGATAAATGTCCAAAAAATTAAACATAAACTTAATTTAATGAATTTCTTACATCTTCACACACTTACCTCGCCATTAGCACATTCAACATATCTCCTTACCGGGTTCCTATCAATCCATGAAATCTTCAAATTGGTTTTAGTACCACAAGAGCAGATCGAGATTGTTTCCTTGCGTTTTCCTTTCATGAAGCTTAAACACATTCCCAGCAAATTGCAACTGCTTATATTGCCCCTCCTACTCCATATTTGAGGACAAATCTATTAGAGGATAAGGGTTTGTACTTTCTAATTGAACTTGAGAGTGATCTGACACATTTGAGAGCAATTTATGTTGAAGAGATTCAAGGAAAAGACTGAATAAATGAAATTGCTCCTCAAAAAGTTATTTTTCATCTCTTATGATGGCATAAATATACGGAGCGATCAAAACGGTACACATTTACTAGTTTAGTGATATTTTTGATTAATAAAAATATTTAGTGACTAAAACCTACATCTTGCAATAGTTTATTGACATTTGTCACAATTTGCTCTTCGTTTTACGGGGAGGGCGAAGTACACAATCTGCCCCCCAAAGGGGAAAAGGAAGAAAAATCAAATTCCCGGTTTGACAAAGCTAGTCGACAACTACAAATTGAAAGCTGCAACTGCAAGACTCATGCATACTTTGAGGCATTTGCCATCCCCCAAATAACATACATAGAAAGAAAGAAAGGAAGAAATAGTAGCAAGTAGATCTCAGCCAAATTATTCGGCCATGGCAACCGGTACTCCAGTTAACATCCCCTCTAAAATGAAGGCCTGGGTCTATGGCCAACCTCGGTTGATGTTCCTGACGTAAATGATGACCAGGTTTTGATCAAAGTAGTTGCTGCGTCCCTGAATCCAGTCGACTTCAAACGCATGGCTGGATCATTCGAGGCCACTGATTCTCCTTCTCCGGTAAACCTCCTTTTTTTTTTTTTTTAGCCTTTTGTTTTAGTCACTAGATAGTCCTTGTGTGGATTTACTGTGTTTTTTTTATCAGGTAGACTGTTGCGGGATATGACGTCGCGGACGTGGTAGTTGGAGTTTTTTTTTTTTTTTTTTTTTTTTTGAAAAGAAGTGGTAGTTAGAGTTGGGATCGAAGTGAAGGAATTCAAGGTCGGGGATGAAGTATATGGAGAAACTCACGAGCATGCCCACCACCCAAAGGATTGTGGGTCACTGGCGGAGTACACTGCAGTGGATGAGAAGGTTTGGGTTTCGCCGAGGCAGCTAGTCTTCCTCTCGCCGTTGAAACAGCGTGCGAGGGCCTTGAAAGCGCTGGCAAATCAATTCTTGTTCTAGGTGGTGCTGAACTTCCAGTACTTTAAAACACCTAGTGAAAATCAGCTCTAATTGGTCAGTTCCAAAGAATTCGTGATAAATGATAATTGTTGAGAATCAATCAACAAGAAGTGGTAGCAGTACTGTACTAAGTCATCCTTGGCAGAGACAAAAAAAAAAAAAAAAATTTTTTTTTTTTTTACTTTATGTATCAACGAAAATTTCATATTTGGCTGAACCTTCATAGCAATTTTACGTTTGGCTTTTGAATTATTAGATCCATTAAAAGTAGTTCTGAAGATTGACCTTTGATCAGAACACGACGATAATTCATGCATTGACTGAAACGGTTTCTTGATCCGGGGCAGCGGGCAAAGACTGTGTTCGGTGCATCCAGAGCGGCAGCAACTTCTAGGTGCTGATTTTGGCAATCGACTGCAGGAAGAACAAGTATGAAGATTTGCCAGAGAAATTTGATACCGTTGGTAAGAATGAATCCTAAGCAATCAAATCAGTCTCTTGCTCTCTGTTTACTGCAGCACGTAAAAGTTTCTGGTGCTAGTAAATCAAATGAGCAGGTGAGAGTGGCAGGGGTATCGAGGCAGTAAAAGAAGGCGGAGGGAAGGGTGGTGACAATCCGGCCGGCGGGGCCAGTGGTTCCCTTCCCCCTGCTAGTCATAACGTGTTTGTGGTCA